ATGGATGGATGGATGGATGGATGGATGGATGGATGGATGGATGGATGGATGGATGGATGGATGGATGGTGTTCTCACCTGCGTTTTGGCTCTCATAAATGGTGCGCTGACGTTGCAAATCTTTTCATTCCTCATCTTGTCCTCAACAAAACACTCGATTTTAATGTCAGAGTTGTCCTGAACAGAAAAACCAATAACATAAGTGGTTAAATCTGACAAATGTGAACACAGAGTGTAAGATATTTCCATGAAAATCGAGCCTAAAAATGCAATAAACAATTTCGAATGAAGAACGCATACCTTGACAATGAGGCTTGAGAAATGAAGATTGGGTGTGTAGGTGATATTTAAAAGCGCATTATAAGCATTTTCTCCTTTGTTCTCCAGCTTGACGTCCACTATCATCCTCCTGGTGTTTCCCTCCAGAACCCGCAGGGATCCCTCCATGGATCCCTCGCTCTGATGGCGGCAGAAAACACCCCGAGACTGTACAGGACGGGCACAGAACTGACTGGGAGTCAGTGAGGAAGGAAGACAGAGCCGTTTACAAGCCGTAAAGGTCCAGATTGTGTAGTTTTGTGTGTGTGCGTGCACTGTGTGTGCGGCGTGTGTACCTACTTTGGAGTCATCAGGTCGGTGGAGCTCTGCAGGGACAGGTCGGGGATGCAGCGGTCATCCTCGTCACAGCCGTTCCAAAAGGGGAGCTGTGCAGCAAAAACAACAAACACTTTTTATTATTCAATTAATTGCCTGTTTTCTAAAAATTGGTCTGGAAACTAGGGTTGTCACAATATTAAAACTCGATACCGATACTTAGGAAAATATTCGATACTCAATACCATTTTCGATACCACCTGGGTAAAAACAAAGACCCCAAAATTTATTAATTTTGACAGGTTAGTGTCTTTGGTTTCAAAGTTACCTATTACTGATGTTATCCTGGCTGGTGGCCCACATTACTAACCTAACCATAACCCTGACCCTAACCCTAACCCTGCCTGGGATCTTCCTATTGGTGACATAATCAAAATGGCCGAATTGGATGTGGGCGGAGTTAGGGGGGGTGTCAACACCTTTGAAAATGAGTATCGTATCCGGATACAACTTTTTAGTATTGATACTTTTTTGAGTATCGATATCGATACTTTTGACAACCCTACTGGAAATACATTTGAATAGAATCTGATTATTCCAAATGAGGAAATGGGCTCTGAGGGCGACCCTTTACCTCGGTCCTCACGACAGTGGGCCAGCTTTCGTCCAGAACCGGCTCGAGTTGTGGGTCTTGCAGGCCCACTTGCACAGCAAACACTATGGGCCTGGCATAGTCTGTGGTCTCCTGGTAAGAAAGAAATATCACATCCATAGATCAGCCTGCATTCACTTGCTAACTGTACTGGAAGTCAACTTCTCCTTGGAGATCAATAAAGCATATTCAATTCAATTTTATCCATACCACTGAAATATTTCTTATTGCTGTAAACAAATATATGAAATGCAGAAAGTCCAATATAAATTGGACTTTGCATTCACTAATTTAAACAGTATCGATCAGTTAAATCAATAGACTCCCTTTGAAATGATCTGACAGCATCTAAGTTATTTCTTAGACATATTGCGATTACTTACAGGAACTGGCTGTTCCTAAACAGCCAGTTTATTTCATGTACAAGACAAATACACAAGCTTTTGGGTAAAAACTGTGTGCGAAGTGTTAACATGATGCATGTCGACAGGGCAGAAAATCCCCCCAAAACACGTTCAGATCATCCCTGAAATGTGCGTGAGTATTAATGCTGTGTGTTAACATTTACAGTGACAGAGGTGTGTTAAAACAAACCTCAGGGAGGAGGACTTTAGCTATGGGAAAATAGCTAGAGGTCTGCCTTAGAAATGACTTTTTCTGGGAGCATTTTGAGCAGCATGTTGTGTCTGAGAAGGAACCGGTGAGTCATGTGAACTAACTGTCGGCTCCGATTGTAAACAAGCGGTGAGTCACATTCATTTAATCTTTGGCTCGTCAGACATGACAAACAAATTTGTTTCACGTCCCCCTAATACACGTCGACTCCTCTTATTCAAATACACCTCCAGCAACTGCATCAACTTTTCTCAGTTTTCATCATTTCCACACAACTTTTTGTTCAAAGCGCCTGACTTTGAGTAAAAAACACCCAAACAAACTTAGCTAAAAAACTTTGCTAGAAAAAGATGTAGTAATATGATCTGATACATTGGTTTACAGATGCATAATTAATCAACAAATCAACAAAAAGAAAGAAAATCTTAATTATTTAAAAGAAGTTTGAATCAATTTCAAAATTCTGAGTAGCCAGTATTTTAAGAGCTCCATTTTTTTGGGCGTGTGTATAATTTTTGCAGCCTCACCATGACGTGGAAGTAGATGTGTTCACAGAACTCCTGTCCTGGGAGCAGAGTCAGGTTTTGGGGCTGTAGCTTTGTCGGGTCGTCCAGCGTGGCTCTAGGGCTGAAACGTCTCTCCACAATGGAGACATTATATTTGATCCCTGGTGGGCCACACACAAATGTAAGACAATACACATTCATATGAAACTCTGAATGTATACATATGTATTTAGGTAAATAACAGGTGTGAGACTGCAATTGGGTCTGAACATATTACACCAACATACAGGACTGTCTCAGAAAATTAGAATATTGTGATAAAGTTCTTTATTTTCTGTAATGCAATTAAAAAACAGCTATATTAAAACAATAAAAGGCTTGTGATATTTCAGTTGATATGTAATGAATCCAGAATGTATGACATTTCACGATTTGTAATTGCATTACAGAAAATAAAGAACTTTATCACAATATTCTAATTTTTTGAGACAGTCCTGTATGTGACCAATAAAAACAAAAATCTCAAGAGAGATTGCTTAAGGATGAGCCATTTCCAAACCACAATGTTTGAGTCATTTCCCATTCGTTGTCTTGTTATAGCATGAGTAAAAACAAGTGTGAAATGCATGGGTTTTGCTTGGGGTAAACTAAAGAAAAAGAAAGCTGGTGAAATGCATTTCGCAAACAGATTTAAGGAGTTAAACTGTCATTTTTTTTCTATTCTCACCACAACATAAAAATAATCCATCCATCTATTATACACCCTTTCCAACTTGGGGTTATGGGGTGTGAAGGGCTTTAGCCCACCCAGGCTGTCATTTGGCGAGGAGTTGGGTACACCATGGACAGGTCTACTCATTTCTATGGTCAACTTAGCACCAACTTAGGGTAAGAGGAAACAAGAGAATTTGGAGAAGACCAACATAGACCTATGTAGAACGTAGAAACAGACCAGGGAAGACCATCCTTCTTTATGTTTAAGCTCTATCTTGAGCCATGTGTGTAAGGTTCTGCACTGCCACATTCATCTGTAAATCTGTACTTACATAAATATGATTAACTTCAGTGAAACAAACAAAAAAAAAAATCATTTTATGCAAGAGGCCACAGCAATTTCCCAAACACCAGCACATCTGCGGTGCATTAGAGGCCAGACACGACAACCAAAGGAAAATCAGATAAACGTGTTCCGCCGTACCCGACCATGGCAGACAAGATAACTCCCCCCCCCTCTTCCTCTATTCTGCTTTGGCACGTTCAGTAGATTTAAGAAAGATGTCACGAGGTCAAAAGTTTAAGTGGAAACACTATCCTCTGATACGCTGTGAAACTGGATACCGAAACAAAATATATAAGCTGAAAAAGCTACCTGGTTATCCGGGTCCCTTAAAGTAGCACAACATTTTTCCAACCTTGATTCGTCTATGAGATTTTACAACCGTCAACTCCACTTTGATGCAATTCTTTGAATAAGTTGAATAAAACAGATAGGAAATTGTAGAAAAAATACTGAAGGGTGCATTGAAAAGCGTCGATCTGGTCTATATGTTCCAGTTTTAAGGGCAGAAATCGGAACTTTGGCACAGAAACAGTTGTAAGATTCTTTTGTGATGCTTTTAAAGGAACCATTTTAATCGTGCTTAATGTGAGTTAGAAGAAGCTGTCAATATAATTTCCTGCAGTTTATACAGAGGATTTAAAGATTTTGATGTATTTTCTTTCTTAGAACTGGTGATGTTTCATCCCATTTGGCACCAGAATTGAGTTATATTGCCCCATTGGTGTAGTGTCATCCATAATTTCTCTTAGCTCACAGCCAGTTTGTTTCCATTGAGATGACAAGTGGTGAAACATGATACATATTCTCGTAAAATACTGATACAACATTGTGACACTTTCATTGCACTGCTTTATTTATTTATTTATTTATTTATTTATTTATTTATTTATTTATTTATTTATTTATTTATTTATTTATTTATTTATTTATTT